AAAAAAAAAAAAAAAAAAAAAAAAAAAAAAAAAGCCCCGTGGAAACTGGAAAGAGCTGAGAGAAAATATTTGGGGATTTATTTTAGGGAATTTAGGGTCACTTTTTTAGAATTTTTATTTTTAGTTTTAAGGTTTCGTTCTTTTCGCTGATTCGAGTTTAGAATTCAAATTTTACTACAGTAAAAAATTCTCAGAAACAGTCACATCTAACTTTTTTACTACAGTAAAAAGCTCTTACACAACATCACATCTCAACTCGAATTAGCGAACCGAACATGCCCGTTTTGCAAGGGAGAAAATATTTTGAATATCAAGAATTGAATATTGATGATTGAAGAGTTAAGCTTAGAGCTTATGACACCTCCATATGAGTTTTTTTTTTTTTCTAATTTATCTATTTCTTTATTTTTGTGAATTGAGATGTTAGAACTCTTTATTTCTTTTATTTTTATTTTTATGTTCTAATTTTCTCTTGTTAGGGCTATGAGATTACCAATTTTATTTTAATTTAATTTAATTTATTTTTACTTTTAATGAATTAATTCACTAAAAGTTTATTATTCATGGTTGTTATTTCTTTCTCTATGCTTAATGCTTTCAATTATCTTGTCAATATTTAAATTCTTTTGGAGACCTAGATTGAAACCCCATAAGGAGATTTTTAGGAATAGCTTCTTGTGAGAGAAATCGTAAGGTGCATGACATGACCTGCGTGGACAATTAAGAGAACCATAAAGCGTAATGAATTTCTAGGGTGGTGGAATTCACATATAGAAATAGTGTGTTTACATGCTAGGAATGTATTTGATAGCATCCCCAGAAGGACTATTAAATAATTTAGGGTTACTTGTTCTAACACATGAATAATAGGTGATGTTAGTAAGAATAATGAATTAAATAAGATTAGATTTGGTGAAATCAGTTGCCCTAGTCTTTAATTTGTTTGAGTTGTTTATTTATTTTAGTTTTTATTTGTATTTTGCTCTTACTATTTTTCTATTTTATTTTAGGTTGTTCAAATAATTTTAGAGTTAACCAATTTTGGTACTTAATTAAAATTATCACAATCTTTGTGAGAACAATACTATTCACTACTTTATTACTTGTATGCGATATTGTGCACTTACAATTTTCACACTAAGTTTTTGGCGTCGTTGCCAGGGATTGTTGTTTAATTTTGATTAATATCGATACTAATTAGCTCTAGGATTAATTTGAATTTTTTTTTCTTTTGTTTTTCTTCTAATTTTGTTTTTCGAGTTTTTTTTTTTTTTTTACAGGTAAAAAAAAACTAAAAAAAAAATGATGACTAAGTTGGAGATGGGCCGAGCCATCATCACTTTCGCCTAACACAACATTGAATCGCTTCATCGAGCTCGGGAGAGATATAATGAACTATTGGCTAGGTTTCCGCAACATGGTATTCCTAAGTGACCTCAACTTCAAATTTTCATTAAAGGATTGAGCATAGTGACCAAAAGTTGGGTTGAAGTTGGCTATGGTATAGCCCCATTCGGCGAAAGACTCGAGGATGAAGCCTACCAAATGATGGAGGATATGGTGAAGTTTTGTCAAGATTGGTACATTCAAGAGAAGTTGTCAAGGGAATTCAAGCCTCTAAAAGAAGATGAGCCTCAAGAAGAAGAAGAAGAAGAACCATTTGAATCTAATTTTGCTCAAACCTTAGCACAGTTGGACTTGCATGGTGTTGACGCTGATTTGCTAAGTAACGAAGTGTGTATTTGTTATCATCAAAACATGAAATTTATTAAACCTTGGGCAAACATCGACGAGCAGCGGTGAAGGGCGATGGTTGAGGGGATCGACGAAGCGCCCATAGGGCGGCAAAGATATCGACACAACAAAGGTCCCAAAAGGAGTAGATGCAGTATGCGAAGACATTGTTGACGAAGCCATCGACATTGGGCGACAGAGTATCAAAAAGAATAGAGATCGGTTAAGATGGGCGACGGCGTCTACGAGGAGTCGTCTTAAGATCAAACCAGACAAGGTCGTAGACACCTGTTTAAGCCCAAACTAGTTAGATCGGGCGATCGTATCCACCAGGAGGTGATAAAAACAACCAAGAAACTGTTAGTAGAAAAAGATAGTTAGAGAAGTAAATAATTGAAGAAAAATAAAAGGAAAATATTTTTGGGATTTTTATTTATAAAAAATAAAAGACAAGTGTAGTTTAAGAGAAATAAGAGAAAAACGATAAGACTTCGAGAATCCGTTATGTAGTTTATATTCTAAATGTAAAATTGATTTATAGATAACTCAATTGCATAATTCACATATCAAATATACAATCGGAAAATATAGATTTAAAGCTTACAAAATTTCACAAAAGTATTTTGAACAAATTAACTCTTCACATTAATTTCCAAAAAGATTATTTTTACTAGTTATCATAAATCGGCAAAATACTTTAAATAGCAATTTGCAGTAAATGACAACTCATAAAATAATTTAAACAAAATAATTATGTGGTTAAATTACATAAATAAAACATGACTAGTACTTAAATAAAATAAGACACGTAATATTTTGAAGTAAAAATAAGAATGAAGAAGACTTTAATTAATTCAAAATGTAAACATTACAAAACATCCGAATCAATTTCACAAGTAGAACACTCAACACATAACTTCATATCTAGCCTCACCAATGGAAGAATTAACCTAGCTTGCTTATGATTTTCACAAATTTTAGAGAGAAAGTATGAAAATAATTGCAAGACAAAACTAGAGAGTGAAGAAGAATAATCTCTGAAAAATACATTGTATGACGCTCAAATTCCTTAAATTGATTCTCAATTTAGGGTGCGTTTAATTTATAAATTAGAATCATATAATTAAAATTATTTTTAATTTATATGTATTTTTTATAAAAAAAAAATACTATAATAAATTACGAACTATAATTTAAATCAAGACGCGAATCTATCTATCAAACATCACCTAAGAGAGAGATGGGGTGCAAGGGTTCAGATAAAAGCAATGAAAAACCGTGGGAGAGTTGCTCTGATAAGTGGGAGACGTGGCTGGAAAACTGATGCAAAGTTGGACGCTTGGGACACGTGTCGTCCAACGATTCGTGGCTCAGAAGAAAATGGTTCAGATGCTAGGTTAATGGGGAGCAGCGATGCCACACGTCGCGCAGGGAATGGGAGACCTGCATTCGATGACGTCAGCTGGCAGGAAGTAGGACCCGCGTGGAGAGAAGAAAACACGAGTGGGACGCGCGCTGGAGAGGATCTCGCGCCCCTAGCAGGCGCGTGCACGAGACACGCGGGGAGTGAGGGAGAGCCGAAGAAAAATATGGCGGGGCCCACATCTGAAGAGGCTTGGCGGCTGATCCGTCTGAGCTGACAGCTTGGCTGGTGGCTTGGGCTTTTGGGCTGAAATTTTGCTTCTTTTTCGATGGCCCATTTGTATGCTTCTGTAAAACAACCTCTTAATGAACACGAACGTTTATTTCTTTATTTCTTGTATTTATTTATGATTTTAAATTATAATTTATAATTTTTTATAGTATTTTTTTCTCATAAAAAATACACGTAAAATAAAAATAATTTTAAATTATGATTCTTAATTCATAAATTAAATATCCTCTTAGGTATTGCAGTGTCATATTGAAATAATTTTTTTCCCATTTATTGTACAAATATTATAACATCTCTTATTCTTATCAATTCAGTTTCTTTTTATTAATGTTTTTTGACGAAAATAAAAATATTCTTTTGTTATAGTTTTTCATTTTCTTAAACAAAAAATACTTGTGGTAGCTACCTTTTATTTTTTTAAAAATTCAATAGGAGGGGACGCTTTTTCCCCTACGAGGTAGGGTGAAATCATCAGTAAAGACAATTATATCTAATAATTTCCCTTCTTCGCCTTCAATAAAAAGGGAAAATTTCCCTACTTCCATACCATTTTTGAACTATGAAGTTGATCTCCACCATCTCAGAGCAAAAACAAGTTCTCGACCTATTCATGTTCTTTTTTTATTCCTCTCAACCCATCTCAGAACTTTCTTTCTTTGACACCGTCGACGGCGTTGATAAGTGTAAAAAAAACACTTTTTAATGTTTTTAATTGATTAATAAATTAAGTTTTAATCAAATATTTTCATGATTTTAATGTAAAATAATTTTGATTGGAAATATTTAGTTTTAATTTAGGGCTCGTTTAGTTTGTTGATTCAAATATTTAATTCAAAATGAAATGTGACTTTATGTGAGTAATAAAAAAGTTGAATATGACTATTTCTGATAGTTTTTTACGTAGTAAAACTTGAATTCTAAACTCAAATCAGTGAAGTGAACAAGACTAAAAAGTTCATCGAAAACTCAATTAAGAGGTTGAAGTTTCTTTTAATAGACTTTAAGTGTTGTTCGTTCGAGTTAATAATTTATACGAGAGAAAATACTATAATAATAAAAATTAAATTTAAATTTTATAAAAAAACTATAATAAAAATTTAAATTGTATGTCAACGGTTTTAAGGCCTCGTTCATTTTACCGATTCGAGTTTTCAGTTTTAAGTTTTAACAGTAACAAATTTTTAGAAAATGTCACATTTAATTTTTTCTGTTACAGTGAAAAGCTCTCAGAAAATATTACATTTCAATTCAAATTCACAAAGTGAACGAGTCTAAGTCATCTTTTTAGTTTTATTCAATATTTAATATACGGATCTGTATCAGATTCAGACACATGGGTGTGTTAGATTTGGATATTATTTTTCTTTTGAAAAGAAAAATACTTACCTAAAAAACGGCGAGACAGGAGAAGGGAAGGGAAGGCAAATCCGATAACCGCCTCATCCTCTCTTGGAATAAAAGGCACGTAGAGGGGTCCCACCTTTCTAGTGCAGTCATGCCACGTGGTGACGAGATACAAGACACCTATAAGTGGATCCCACAAACTTTATCCACCTGTCTTCTTTCTCGTTCCTTCCAAACCCACCAAAAACTCTCCCCCCTCTCTCTCTCCTCTCACAATACACACACTTGTGTCTTTCTCTCTCTATATGTATCTATCTACAACTGTGTATATGTTTTTTACGCACTAAATATCACAAAATCTTGAATCTGGACCGCGAAAATTTTTCATTTCGTTTCGTCTTCCTTTTGCCGCTCTCTTTCTGTCTTTCCGTTTCTTCACAACTCACAAACCCTAAAATCCTCAATATCCTTCTCTCCCTCTTAATATCAGATCTGAATAATTTCAATTCCGGTTTCTTTTTTCGCTTCTCCGGATCTCCATGCGATTTCTTCTCCATAGTTTAATGGATTTCATATGAGGTATGCTTCAATTTCGATCTATCTTTGAAATTTTCTGATTGCCGCGTTTTTTTATTCATTTTCTTTTTGCTTCTTGATTTTAGCGTTTATGGCTCGAAATGATGTGATTTTTTTTTTTTTTTGATTTTCTATATATCTACCTACCTTTCTCAGTTGTATTCGAGAAAAATTTAAATTGACCGTTTGAGATTTGAGTGGGTTTTAATCGTTTCTTCTGGTTTACGTATTGAATGCTGTTTCAGAGCGTTTGATTTGTAGCTTTTGTGGCCCGAATTAATGCGAAATAGTGCCGGAGTGAAAGTACAGGCGGGTTGAATTTGGCCGTAAAGGATCTGGGGTTTTTGACGTTTCTTTTGGTTTTCGTATTGAATGCTGCTGTTTCAAAGTGTTCAGTTTTTTGAAATATACGATTGTTTGATTTCTGTTGAAGAAGTTGTTATTGGATGGGGGAAGTAGAAGTTGGACAAGAGGCGCGTTACTTGGTTGGGGTAGAAGATGGGGAGAATGAGGATAATAACATTTCTAAAGCTGAACTGAAGCGTGACCGTCAGTGCATTATAGATGAAGAAGCGGAATCGAATCAGTCTCCGAGCAAGAAACATGCTAAAGAAGTTTCAAATGACGACATACGCTCAGAAGTTTCGAACCCTGTAATCTCTCCTAAAGAGAATCCCTCCACTTTTCAAGACATCAGTAGCCAACCGACTGAGTTGGCAAATGGTGGTAGCCAAGCCGAGTGTGGTGAGGTTACTTCAGCGGTGTGTTCGGGGAATTCGAGTTCTGAGGAGACCTTGAGCAATGAGGAGCCGAGTGGTATAGAAGCTTCTCAGATTGATAACGATAAATCCAATGATGTCTTGACGTCTCGCGTTGTGCTGGAGATTCCCGAGCACGCTGCTTCGTCTGGGATTCGAAAAATTACCTTTAAGCTCAGCAAAAGAACGCAGGATTATGACACTTGCTCAGTGACTAATGGATTTGATAATCTATCCTCACATGGTGGCTCTTCTGAGGTGCCTGGACAGTACTCCTCAGCAATGGTCGATGCAAATCAGGAGTTTTTGGAATATTCCTACCCGAAAGGTTATGTCGAATCCAGGAATTTCCATGTGTGTGCTCCTAATTTGGAGTTAAAGATGTCCAAGAAGGTAGTACCGAGCAGCTATCCTTCAAATGTTAAAAAGCTATTATCAACCGGAATTCTCAATGGAGCTCGAGTGAAGTATGTTTCTAGCTCATCAAAGGTACGTCAGATTCTATATGTGTGTCACTGTTAAGTGTTTTCTGTCTAAACGTTTCATATATTTCTGAAGGATTCTCATAGGATTTTTATTGGTTGATAGAATCAGCTGAATGGCATTATAAGCGGTGGTGGGTATTTGTGTGGCTGTTCAACATGCAATTTCATGAGAGTAAGTCGCATGCAGCTTTAATTGGTGGTCGTGATTGGATTCTTTCGTGTTCTGTCTGCCAGTACTGAATTATGAAAATGATATTAGCAGGTACTTACCGCGTATGAGTTTGAGTACCATGCTGGTGTGAAGACCCGGCATCCTAACAATCACATATACTTGGAGAATGGTAGGCCGATTTATAGTATCGTACAAGAACTGAAGACTGCGCCACTTGGCGTACTTGATGAAGTGATTAGGGACTTGGCGGGTTCTTCTGTCAATGAGGAGTACTTCCAGATCTGGAAAGGTAACACTCGTCATTTGGTTGTTTTAATACATTATGAATGATGAGTCTATTCATCATCAATGTATTATATAAGGAGAAAGGATAGAATAAGGTCATACCTCGTGAAACTGGAGTTTTTAACTTTTCTTCAGATAATAATTCTCTCTTTCTTTTTTGTTTCTGAAATAATTGTGCAGCTTCTCTTCAACAAAATGTTAGAATTGCCGAAGTGCATAACGGGCATTGTACAAATATTCCCGGATTGTCTCATTCACTTTTGGGGTAAAGAGAAACCGTCTCTTGATCATTTATTTTCTGTCGTCAATTATATAGTTGGCCTGCTAGTTCAGTTACACACACGAGCGCGTTGATTGACTTATGCTGTTATCATTATTTCTGTTCTGCAAACCAAATCTTTTGACAAATAGTCAAGAAATAAGACGAGCACAATTTAATGTTTCCTAATAAAGCAGGCCCTTTTTGAATTCTAAATGCAATATATGCTTCTCTCTGTTGATCTGATATTCGATGATATTTTATTTTTACTTATAATCTTTCTTATACGTGTGGTAAATGAAGCACAAAGGAACAGTATGAATTTGGTAAAGAATACACTTTTTATTGTGGGATTGTTACATTGTTTTGAAAAAAATCTGTAGCTGCTCAATTCCAGATTTAAAGGAAAGTGTTGGCTCTGCTTCGTATTCCTTTGCACAAAGTAACTTTTTATTGTGGGATTGTTACATTGTTTTGAAAAAAATCTGTAGCTGCTCAATTCCAGCTTTAAAGGAAAGTGTTGGCTCTGCTTCGTATTCCTTTGCACAAAGTAACTTCAAGCAGGAAATATATACAGAGACAGCAGAAGAGCAGAAATACATAATGAATAAGTTTGTTCTCTCTCTCTTTCTCATGATTATCCAGCACATCTTGCTAAATCAGTACTTCCTAAATTCTTAAGAGAAGCTTACATGATCGTATTTTGCTGTATACTCAAATGGTAGTTCTTTTGCAGATCAAGCTACTACTCTTCTACAATAGTGCAACATAAGAAAACTGCTGAAGGTGGTGCTAAGAGAAGGTAACTCTCCCCACTCGTCACTGGCCTTTTATATTGTGTTTCTTACAAATTCTTTTGTTCTTCCAGTTTCTAAGCAACTGATAATGTGGTGGAAGTTTCTTTATAACGAGTCATTATATTTTGCAGGGACAATGATCTTCACCGGTTATTGTTCATGCCAAACGGACTTCCAGATGGTACTGAGTTGGCATACTATGTCAAAGGACAGGTATTTTTTTAAACGTTTGTGTTCTAATTTGTTCAGTTTATTCTGGGTTTACATACTTGCGGTTGTATATCAATGTTTAACTCATCTGACGTTGTACTCTTCCAGAGGATACTTGGTGGCCACAAGCAGGGAAATGGTATAACCTGTGGTTGCTGTAACAGAGAGGTTAAATCCCTGAGCCGGACAGATTGTTTTATTATGAGTTTCTTTGATCCACATGTTTTCTTATCTGACACTTTTATTATGAGTTTCTTTGATCGATAAGAAAAGTTTTCTTATCTGCCTTCATAACCACTATGTTTATATGTGCGCAGGTTAGTCCTTCTCAGTTTGAAGCTCATGCTGGAATGGCTGCCAGGCGTCAACCGTGAGTTGCATATATAGTACTTGCCTCATTGTTGAAGCAGTTTAATGCCTCATATTAAGTTCTTTGGTCCTTTTACAGCTACCGCCACATTTATACAACAAGTGGATTGACGCTGCATGATATAGCAATCTCATTGGCTAATGGGCAAAACATTACCACTGGTTACAGTGATGACATGTGCGCAGTTTGTGGAGATGGAGGTGATCTGATTTTATGTCATGGATGCCCTCGAGCTTTTCATGCAGGTGGTCGTTTGCTTTTGATTCATATTTAGCATAATAATAATAATAATAATAATAATAATAATAATAGTAGTAGAAGTAGTAAGTTCCCCTCCCCCCCCTCTCCTCTCGTGGATAAGTCTTAACTTTAATATGGTTCATTTATAATAGTAGTAGTAGTAATAGTAATTATAGTAAGTTTTTCTTTTCCCCCCTTGTGGATAAGTCTTTACTTTAATATGGTTCATTTATAATAATAATAGTAGTAGTAGTAGTAGTAGTAATAGTAATTATAATAATAATAATAATAATAATAGTAATAATTATAGTAATAATATTAATAATAATAGTAATACTACTACTACTACTAGTAGTAATTATAATAATAGTAGTAGTAGTAGTAGTAGTTCTAGTAATAGTAATTATAATAAGTTTTTTTCCCCCTTGTGGATAAGTCTTTACTTTAATATGGTTCATTTATAATAATAATAGTAGTAGTAGTAGTAGTAATAGTAATTATAATAATAATAGTAATAGTAATAATTATAGTAATAATATTAATAATAATAGTAATAGTAATAATAATAATAGTAATAATAGTTATAGTAATAATAGTAATAGTAATAATAATTATAGTAATAATAGTAATAGTAATAATAGTAATAGTAATAATAGTAATAGTAATAGTAATAATAATAATAAGTCCCCCCCTCCTCCTTGTGGATAAGTCTTTACTTTAATAAGGTTCATTTTGTCCAAGTTGCACACTAGGCTAACTTGTGCGTATAGTTGTGTTATAAATGTTAGAACGTCTATAAATATTTGTGGTAGTATTATTAGTCAGTCTAGAACCTAATTTTTATGGGTATCTTATGAATCTTCCTTACGAAGTTTTATTGGCATTGCAGCTTGTTTGGATTTGCCGTATGTTCCACAACATGATTGGCATTGTCCAAACTGTAAAGATAAATCTGATTCTGGGAGAAAGACTGCTGCCGGGGAATCATCCACTATTTCAAGACCAATTGTTATTAGGTTGACAAGAGTTGTTAAAGAACCTGAAATTGAAATTGGTGGTTGTGTTGTTTGCAGGTTGGTTGCTTTATTCTTTTTTTTTAATTATTATTTTATCTTCTGATTTTCACTCAGGAATTTTAATTGGTGTCGACTGTTAATTAATATTATTTTAGGTGGAGAAAGGACAAGTTATTGATATTCTTGAAAATAGAAGAATAGAGGCTATTGATTGGAGTTATGATATCGTGCTTAATATAATGACTTTTCACAAAGAAATAGATAGGTTTCCAGTGTTAAATATATGTGTTTATTTATAGCATTTGAGGTTCTTATGTTTGTTTAGTCACTACATTTGCCAATTACTTTTTGTTGTTTGTATTTGTAATTGTATTTCAAGTTTTTAACACTTTTGTTATGTTTATTAGGGCCCATGATTTCAGTTCGGCTAAATTTGATGAGCGAACGATTATGTTGTGTGACCAAGTATGGGGCATCATGCTTCTTCACTAAACACATGCAGTTTCTTGTCATTTTTGTTTTTGGCAGGACGTTTAACCTTGACCTTAATTTTTGTTTCAGTGTGAAAAGGAATTTCATGTTGGTTGCTTGCGTAAAAGTGGGTTGTGCGACTTAAAAGTAAGTCTGAAACCTCATAATGGTTCAAATTATACTTCATGCAAGTATGCAACTTGTTTGTTTATCAGCTTTTCTGTATCTCATGCAGGAACTTCCCAGAGACAAGTGGTTTTGCTGCGATGACTGCAATAGGATTCATATGGCTCTACAGAATTCAGTATCAATTGGAGCAGAGATTGTTCCGGCTTCATTGTCGTGTACGATACTTAGGAAGCATGTAGATAAAGGATTACTTATTGATGGAATGGAAACTGATATTCAGTGGCGAATTCTGAGTGGAAAAAGTCGTTTTCCTGAGCATCTACCGTTTCTTTCAAGATCTGCTGCAATTTTCCGGGTAACTAATAAGTATTGTGATACTTATTGTGATTTGGTGGATCAGTCTTACACTGTACTCTTGTTATCCACTCTACTTGCTTCTGCTCATAACAATGGTGCGAATCAAGAAATTGGGCCCCATTGAATTGTTTGGAGAACATGGTTATTTGTTTGGAACAGTCGAGATTAATTTTCATAGAGAGAAAACCTATTGCTGCTTATACATGATAGATATATTTCTTGGTGCCTTTAAACTTGACCATACTCATCATAGCCGTCGTTTGTTACCATCTACTTTTACCTAACTATAAGTCCTTTCCAATTTACAGGAGTGTTTTGATCCTATTGTTGCACCATCTGGTCGTGATTTGATTCCTGTTATGGTTTATGGGTAAGTGAATCTTTACAATTGTAGAGCAAAAAAAAAAAAGTGGGAAAAGTGAATCTTTACAATTGACTTCATCGTCAATAAAAGGAAGTTTCTTATATATTAAATAACAAAAAAAAAAAAAAGCAAGTTAAGTTGGCCTTTTAGTTTGTGCGCATTTACGGGGGGTCAAGGAACTACTTTAGTTTGTCATCCTCAAAGGGTGTAAAGAGAGTAGGATGCATTAAAGCCTCTTATGATTTTTATTTTTTTCCACTTCGATTTTTTTCCGAATAGATTGTAATCTGTCTTCTTTTCCCTTGGAATTTTGCAGGAGAAATATATCTGGTCAAGAGTTTGGAGGAATGTACTGTGTAGTTTTAATTGTGAGGTATGGTACTGTATCAAATATATCATGTTAGGAATCTTTATTTGTATATATTTTGTTCATTTGAGTAACTCGGTCCTTACATGAGTTTGTACTTTTCTAGACATAATTTTTTTTATGCTCTCGCAGGTCTGTTGTTGTAACAGCTGGTCTTCTTAGGATTTTTGGTCGGGAGGTTGCCGAGCTTCCTCTTGTGGCTACAACTAGAGAACACCAAGGGAAAGTAAGCAACTTGATGATCCAAAATGTGCTTTATATCTTTTTGTTTCCCCTCTCTTTCATTAAGATTATTCATATCTTATAAGGAGAGAAAACGAAGAGAACTGTGGTGTTAATCTGTTAATACTTTTATTGTACTTTTTTTTTCCTCCTTTCAGACCACAAATTTAAACTCTTGTTTTATTTTCTTTTTATAGGGGTATTTCCAAGCATTATTTTTGTGTATAGAGAGGTTGCTGTCGTCCCTGAATGTGGAAAACATTGTGCTCCCTGCTGCCGAGGAAGCAGAGTCGATCTGGACAAAGAAGTTTGGCTTCACAAAGATGAGTGAGGAGAGAGTAAGTTCATTCTCTGATGGAATGTCAGCTTAAATTTTGATTTTGCTGCTGTTCAATCTGTTAACAAATTTTAGTTTCTAAGTAAGACGATTAGCATTACTTAGTTCTCACTCATCCAGGCGATCTCCCGCCATTTGTTTTTTTAATAAAGAAAAATATTGGTTAGGACCTTTAGTTTTGCAATCACTACATATGTGATAATACATTAAACCTGCCATATAGCAGAATGGGAACGCAATTTTCTTGTCATGTAACAATTTGCTTTTACTGTCACGCATATGGAGATGGATCACCGGTGGCGTTCTAGATAATCGGCTTTTATACATCTTTTTCTCAACTTAGATGTAAGAAACAAACACTAATAGTTTGGTTGGATTTATGTTATAAATGTCAGCTGTCCAAGTATATGAGAGAGGTGCAGTTGACGATTTTCAAGGGAACATCGATGCTGGAAAAGGCAGTGCCCCACATGATGGAAAAATAGCTTGTTTTGACACCTCCAATCATTTTTTAAATTATTTTCCTGTTTGTTATACACGTATCCTGTAGTAATACTACGTTTTTTTGTTGTTTTTTTTGCTAGAATTGGAATAGGGTAAAAGTAGGGGAAGAGAAATGCCTGTAAAAAGATGAGAGGAGATGAAACTTGAAAGCAGTGCATGCTGACATTTTATTATGCATGCATGGCTGAGTATATTTTTGTTTTGTTTGTTTGTTTTTTTTTTTTTTTTTTTTTTTTTTTTTTTTTTCTTTTTTTTTTTTTTTCACTTTTCTTTTCTTCACGTAAACTTAATATTGTACATTAAGAACACTGTTCCTTTTGCTAAAAGAATGCAATGTTTTGAGTGCTCGCATTTTACCAAAAAAAAAAAAAAGAGGTAGAATAGGTAAATTCGATTTCAAATAGCTGGTCTATGGTGGTTTTGTTTTGGTTGGGACATGTGAATTGCGAGTAAGCACTAAGCAGTTGTAAACATGGATGGACTATTTTTTAAGGCCATGACGTGATACGTTTAAGCTGTCTTATTTTTAATTTAATATGATTCTGATGTGATAATGCAGATAAAATTTGTTATTTTTCGGGTAATTTTTTTTCCCATCCATCCTATCATGTAATTATATCCTCAAAATATACAAGTATGAGAGTAAATAGTTAAAGTATCAAATGATTAAATGGAGAAATGTAATTGTGTGCATGTAATTTACACTATGAGTAAGGGATGATACAGTGAGTAGCATCAACACCAAAGATTCTATGTAAAGAAACTTGGGAGAAAAATAGATTCGCGACAACATTGAGAGATAAATATGTAGTATGAGTTTCTTGTAAAAAAGTGAGTGGGAAAGATAAGAAAAAAGACAGTTTGAGTTTGTACGAGTGTTTACGCATAGGAAATTGTAGTAAGTTGGAATATTTGAGTTTTCAGTTTTAAGTTTTTACAGTAAAAAGTTATCAGAAAATGTCACATCTAACTTTTTCTGTTACAGTGAAAAGCTCTAAGAAAATGTCACATCTCAACTCGAATCCGCAAAGTGAATGAGGTCGAAGATATATGCGTGATTGATTGGGCTCGTTAGGCGTGTTAATGTTTATGCCTTTAGGAATAAATGTAACAATATTTTTTTGAGATATTTTGACTATTAATAAAGGTTTATTTATTTCATATATTTATGTATTGTCCTCTTTATGTTTGTATTATTTAAATGTATGATAAGTAAACTGGATGTCTGAGACTGTCGTTCCAAGTCTTTGAATCGTGCATGTAATGAGAAAAACATGTAGAAGACAAGAATCTAAAAATGATAGTCTAAACAATATGATCTGCAATCGAGGGAATAAAGTTGAGTGCTTTATTTATATTAAGATTGTGTTGTCTACTTCTTAATGGAGACAG